TTTACCAGTTCCTTTACTGACGGCTAGTCCAAAGGATAATGCAGTTCCTCAGCAGTTACATATACAGTAGTTGCAGCACAAAGTCTGTCCCAACAGCTTACAGCAAAAGTAATAAAAGGTCTTTCCTGCAACATATGCTCCTTGCAGCGTTCCAGCACAGATTAGGTTCTACCCAAGGCTATAAATGCAAGAATATTTATACTCTCAAAGATGCAGATTCAGGTGTATTGCAAGCACACCTAAATTAACCATTTCTTGTCCTTTTTCTCTGTGTGCATAAATATACATTCACTAACATTAAAAGGTACTTAAAACACGGTGGGTGAAAATAACTGCTGCATTTCAAGCTGCTAAGGCGTACGTAGCCTTAGTCTCCTTTAACTAATTGGGATTTGCTTATTAGTCAACTTTCTTAAGGGTTGCACTGCACAAGGGGATGGGGAGCCCGTGGTCCTCCAGGTGTTGTCAGATTCCAACTCCCACCAGCCCCAGCCAGCATGGCCAATTGTCAGGGAGGATGGGAGTTGTCCTCCAACCAGAGGCAAGACACCCCACCACTATTGCAGGAGATGAAATGCGGGAGAAGCTTCCCATCCTTGCACCATGGCACAAAGGTGTGTGGTAAAGTGTTGTTTTTGGAGGCGGTGGGGGAGACCAATTCAGCTCCTTGCCAAGGATGCAAGGGGCCCTAGGGACGTCTCTCTGCATCCCACAAATTCTGGAGGATCACATCTGCAGCTGCAGTCCTATACATACCTCCCCAGAAGCAAATCTCAGTGGGACTCCTGAGAAAGTACACATAGGATCAGAGTGTACTATGTTGGCTCAATGGCAGATTTTGATGGCCATTTCCTTCGCATCATGAAGGAACCTTAGCATGATGGCTTGGAGGTCTGCTTCTTGTCAAGAGTCTGGCCTTCTGATCAATAGTCTCAGTATAAGGCAGCTTCTGAGATTTACATAGCTTTGAACCTCTTGGGCTGCAATCCTGCACAGCTGGGTGAATTCAATCCAATTGAAGCTAAAGGCCCTAGCCCAGAAGAAGTCTATAATCATGAGTAACTGAAATCCCATTGCTTTTAATGGAACATAAGAGTGACTAACTCATAAGAGTGGCTCATGACTTGTGTCACTGATATTCAAGTGAGCAGGACTGCAGTCCAAATGGACTATTAGGCCCTTAAGAGAGATGCTGAAGGCTGTTGTGTGAATAAAATAAAACACTAGCAGCCCATTGACTTGCAGATAAGTCCTCCTTTTAATAGGACTTGTCTTCCGTGTAATTACATTTATGGATCAGGATATAACTAACTAATTGGAATGCTCCCAGTATTTAATGCTGGAAGTGCCAACAATTACAGGAGATGCTCACTGAAGCCAGTCACATTGGTCACTAATAGTTTGCAAACAATTCCCTTCAGGTTATATGGATGTTGTGGCAAGAATTCAAGACATGAAAATGGAAGAGAGAAATGTGAAACACTTCACATATTTATCTTGTGTCTGCTCCATAATGGCTGGCTTCAACAATGAAAACTTACCTTTAAATAGATTTCACTGACAATACTAAAAACCAAGAGACTTCACATTTTTTTAAAAAAAATGTAGGTATATAAGAAGAAGAAGAAGAGTTTGGATTTGATATCCCGCCTTTCACTCCCCTTCAGGAGTCTCAAAGCGGCCAACATTCTCCTTCCCCCTCCTCCCCCACAACAAACACTCTGTGAGGTGAGTGGGGCTGAGAGACTTCAAAGAAGTGTGACTGGCCCAAGGTCACCCAGCAGCTGCATGTGGAGGAACGGGGAATCGAACCCACTTCCCCAGATTACGAGACTACCGCTCTTAACCACTACACCACACTGGCCACATTGTTTAAGGGACTTAAACAATTACTTATGTATTTAAAATATATATTTTTTGGTACTGGCAAAAACTAGAGGCACATGCCTCTTCTAAGGTAGCGCTTGCTGCGACTCAACCATATGCATAATTCAAAATAATGCTTTCCCCCCTTCAAAACCATTATTTTATTGGAATGCAAATATATGCATATTTAATTGACTAATCAAGTGATTAAAAGTCATATGATCAGTCTATTGAGATACATTTAACTGGGTGGCCATCGTAGCTCTCGACTCCTTTACTGATTGTGATTGCAGAATCAGGAAGATACATATGATTATCCTGGATGATCTGATGTGGAGAACAAGAGTTTGGTCTTGGATTATGGCAGCGAAACAAACAAAGAAGGGAGGCCCCATACAGGTGCTATCTTGTGGGCTCCCATATGGCGGATAATAAGAAAGTGAAGTATACCAATAATTTTAAACGACGGTCGTTCGAACCTGCCCTCTGCAAACTTTTCGATCCAGCTGCCCTTCTGCTCCTCATTGCAACTTTTTTTATCTCAATTTTTGGTCAACACAAAGCAGATGGCCCCTTTCGCATTTATTATTTTACCACCGCCTCTTTAATAGCTACAATCACAACGGCACAATAATGCCCTTGACTTTCGAGAAGATTTCACATCTGTTTTGTGCACCATCCGAAAGCGGAGGGATGCTGTCGGGCGACGTGTGCCAGGTCAGGAGTCATTCTGTGGTCGAGGGAAGAAGGAAAGCAGCGAAGGAGGAGAGAGGCCAACTGCGGGCTGAGAAGAAGAAAGAGGCTCGGTTTCACAGGGGCTGGACCCTTGGCCGCCCACATCATAATATTTTGATCGCGGAGGGAAGCTGATGCCCAGAGCGCGCCGATTCGACGTGAAACTCTATCTGCGAAGGTGCTCGCCCAGAGAGAGAGAGAGAGAGAGGATTGCCCTGAGGTTTGGCAGAGCTGTGAAAGAGGAGGAGGAGAGAGAGAGAGAGACCCGCTTGTTCTGGCTTTAACCTACATTGGCTGGGGAAGGAGAAGAAGAATAGAGCGCGTCCATATGGTAGATGCTGCCTGTGGATCTGCAGCCCCAATGCGGTGCCCGGCTCGTGCGCGCTTGTGCCAGATGGCGCCTGGGCCAAGTGGCCAGGCGTGGGGTGGCTCTGGTTAGCCTCATAAACCTCCAGCACAAGTCCCCAAATCAAAACACACACATACGAACATCTGCTCGGGCCCGCAGTACCCAGCTAGCCTTTCAGCCGCGCATTAAAGAGCCCCACCGCCCTTCTGTTCCCCCGGGGTTAGGCGCTCATTACCATTTACCAAGCACTGATGTTATCTGGCCCCGTGTTTTTATTTAGCGCCCGAGCAGATTTGGTGGGTTGACAGTTGACGCGCTCGCGGGTGAGGAGGGGACCCTGGCTGCTCAGGGGAGAAGCAGGGACCTCCTGCTCTACCTTGCGGACTAGGACAGAGCACCCATCGCCCTGTGATCCTGACTTGGGAGAGAGATACCCCCACCCCCATCCCTGAGACCAGCCGGTGGGCATCGAAGGGGATGGTGTCTTGGGTACCTGTTCCCTGGCACAGGCATGGGGCGCTTTCTCAAACATGTAGGAAAGGAAAACGCTCTGGGCGTGGGGTCTTCTCCGGAAAAACGTTGCTCTGCTACATCAAAGCATGACCAGCCTGTAGGTCGCACTCCGTTGGAAAGAGCGCGAGAGGGAGACGGTAAGTGGAAAGGACCCAGGTGAGTTTTTCCAAGGAAACCCTCTCAAGGTGTCTTCTCGACGAAGGATTAAAAGAGAAAAGGGGACACTGCGCGCGCGTGGATGGATCCGTGCAAGGGACGCCGAAATCCTCGAGCCAAACACTGGAGGAGATCCCGAGAGAAGCCACACTCGTACAGGGAATCGTGGCTTTTTCTCGCGGCAGCAGCGTTGGGGTTTTCATATTAAATCGACAGACGCTCAGCAGTTCATGGGCAGGGCTTTATAAAGGGGGGGGGGGCGGGGAGAGAGAAACTTTCTAGAGTCAAGCAAGATCAGCAGAAGTTTACATCCATTTCGAAACAAGTGATTCCCCCTCCCCTTCCCCCAGGAGCCATCTGGCAGGCCCACTTTAACAACAAAAAAAACCCACCCATCCCTGTTAGTACATCATATCCTAAATCAACATTTTGCTTTGGGTCCTCCTCGGCTTTGTAAGGCAGGCGTTTCTCATGCCGCACACAAACACACAAAAGTTGCTCTTTTGAAAGCAAGTGCATGGGGCGATCCTGTCTGGTTCAGGCAGAAACCCACACCTATGTTTATGCTTTCTCGCCTCAAAATAAAACAAGAGTATTCCCTAAGGGCTGCCTGGGAGACACCCACTGTTTCCCAAAACAACGCACCAACCGGTTATTTCACTTATTTTTTATTTATTTTTTTACAGGTGAAGAGAAGCGCGGACAGGGGCTGGCATAAAGGTGGCAAGACCTCATTATCATACAGCTGAAGGTTTATCTTCTCTCCCCCCCCTTCCCCTCCCTTTTTAACAAGCTGAAATAAAAGCCACATGAAAGGCCTTCTCTGTGCTTGGCTTTAATGAGGGACACGCGACCCAACAATAAGCACACATTGCAATCAGGCCAAGGGGTTTATTGGCACACACCAGCCTGCAGCCAGGATACAATCTGAGCCGGCGCACCGCTCCGAGGAGGGCAGGCTGGCAGACTGCAAGGCTCTCCATTCACACCACGGGGGATGTTGCCCTTGGGACAGGGTTGGTACCCAATGCGTGTTCCTCGATGTCACGGAAACTGAACTCTATACGGTTACGATTCTCCTGTTGATGAAAATGACTGCCTCCACCGGTCCTCACCTGAGAGCAGCTTCGCTCCGTCCAAGGAGAGTCAGCTGGTGGGGTTTGGGGGGCGCAAATGGTAGGGCTTTGGAGGAGCATGGAAGAATATACCCACTTTAGAGCAAAGCCACTTTAATTCGCCTCTGTCCGGAGGCAGCGCAAGGGTTAATAAGTCGTCCTGCCCCCTCTCCGCTCTTACGCGTCGGGGCTGCAGATAGAAATAGCCACAGGGTTGGGGCACACAGGTGCGCCGGCCTCAGAGCCCTGTGAATCGAAGTGATTTGCCAAACAGCCCGGGGGAAGATGTTTGGAGGGGTGTGGAAATCCGCAGCAAGGTTGGCCTTTCGATTTCTCAAGAACTGGCGTCAGTTCTGGTTTCTTACCTGCTCTCACCTGGGCAGGTAACACTATGTGGCCAAACAAAAGTGCATAGGATGGGGAATCTGTGCGCCCCGAAGTTGTTGGACCCCATCTCCCCTCACCTATAACCATTGGCCATGCTGGCTGGGGCTGACAGGTGTCGGAGTCCAGCAAAACATCTGGAAAGCCACAAGTCCCCTAGCGCTTTGGACTGCATTCGCCTTCCTTAAGGAAGCATGAGCCTGAATGAGAAGGGTACTCTTTTCACACGGCAAAATCTTTCCCTGGTTGCCTGCCTCCTCCTTCCCCTTTGCGAGGGCTCCGTCTCCGTGGCGAGCGCACTAAATCTCTCAACAGATGCTGGGGCATCTTCATAATCAGCTCGGCTCCTTGGTGGTCAGTGTGGAGCAGCAGCAGCAGCAGGGTATTAATTCTGGATCTGCGGGCTCTCCACCACATTGGGTTCCTTCTTCCAGAAAGATAAGGGGGAGGGATCTCCCGAGCCTGACGGACAGTTTACATAATGAGCTTGCGAGGCCAGGAGGCAACTATATAAACAGCGCGAAGGGAAGCCAGCTTTCCACTCACGGAGCGAGCGCAGGAGCAGCAGCTGAGGTCAGGGGAAGGAACGAGCTGCTGCCGCGCCACGCTCACACGCCCCTCCGCCTCTCTCCTCCGGGCTTGGGAGTTTTATAAACGACGGGATTTAACCCTCCGACCACGCCGATGCTTTAAAAAGCAGCCCCACTGGATTATACCTTCCTCTTCGTCTTGGGGAGTACTTGGAAGGGAAGCCTCTGACCTGCATGCCACGACTTGGGAGAGCCAGGCAGCAACAGCAGCAGCAGCAGCAGCGCATCTTTGGACCACCTGAGGAATACGAGCGAGCCTTGAAAGCTCAGCCCGGGAGGAATTAAGCACATCGTAGCGGGAGGATGGCAGCCTTGCGCCTCGTGGGCTTGACATTGGCTGTCGCGGTGACGCTGCAGGTAATGATGTTGGCACAGCCGTCGGGGGAATATATATATACGTATATACACACACATTTATATATGTGTGCATGGGGAGTTTTTCATTTTCTTTCTGGAAAGTGTTGGCCCCAAAGGGAACAAGCTCGGGGTATAAGCTCTGCTGTTGTGTGTGTCTCCCCTTTGCGCAGAAGGTCTCCGGCTCGGGCGTCTTCCAGCTGGAGCTGCGGCACTTTGCCAATGGCCAAGGCGCCCTGGCGAGCGGAGAGTCGTGCGGGTCCGGCTGCAGGACCTTCTTCCGCGTGTGCCTGATGCATTACCAGGCGGTGATCTCGCCGGGCGACTGCACCTTCGGCAGCATCGTGACCCCGGTGCTGGGCATCAACTCCTTCGCTATCCGGGAGACCGAGGGCTTCGGCAGCCCCATCAAGTTGCCTTTCAACTTCACGTGGCCGGTGAGAGCTCACCTTCAACAGCCTTGGAAAAGCGGGGCGGGGGTTGAGCGAGGAAGTCGAAATAATAACAATAAAAAATCAGAGGCCGCCGTGGTTCAGCTGCAGGCTATATAAACAAACCCTGCGCTCGACGTTTTGTTTCCATAACTTGGTGCCATGTAGAAAGCTGCGCTCTAATTGCGGGCGTTGCAAATGCATGTCGGAATAGAACGGCGAGTTGCTCAAGGCGAGTGAAATGTGCACATTTTGTAGCTAGGGGAAAGTTGCTTTCCACGAAGCTGGGGTGGGAAGGGTCGCCTTGGGGAGGCAGGGAGAGGACATTTCTTCCTCCTGCACCCTGGTCAGAGGCGAGAGACGCCTTTTCCCAGGAGATGAAAGCAGTCCTCCGGAGGAAGCTCCATTTCATCGACTCAGACAAAGTAATGCTATCTGCAATTAGATTAATTGAAATGTATATCTACCGCCAGGTAGAGGTTTTCTGGTTTCACCCGATTGTTTTAAATCTCTGAGGCCGACAGTCCCTTTCCGATCACTTATCACTAGAACTCCCCGCTTGTCCTTAGGTTCTGTGCCTTCCTCTCACTCCTCCTTTCCATTCACAGGGAACTTTCTCATTGATCATTGAAGCCTGGCACGCTCCCGAAGGTTACAATCCAGCAGGTGAATATGGCCGTTCCTTTCCTACTCACTAGGGGGCGACAGCTTTTCAAAACTTGCAGCTTTATGCAGAAGCTAGCTTAAAAAAACAACACAAAATAGCTAAGTCTGCCAGCACAGTTATTAAATAGCTTCCACCTAAGCTACATAAATAAATATTGTTTTTACTTATTGCATGTAAGTTCAGAAAATATTTTCGATGCTTGCTTTAATTTGCAAGGCAGAGCTGTTCCCAACATCTTGATGGGTTTTGCTTTGATTTTGTCCCCCTACTTAATCTCCACACAATTGCGTTTCCTCCCGTTTATTTTTGGCGTGGGAAAGAAAGGAGCTCTTTGGTGAGAAAACGGCAAGGCTGCCAAAAAGTCCTGACTGCCTTTTCCTGTATTTTACACCTTTTTCAAATTCCGCCCTTTGGAAAAGGAATAATGGCTTTGGGATGTTTTTCTGACATAGAGGAAAAGGATATTTCAACAGCACAAGAGCTCTTACTTTGAAAGGCTTTCTGTAAAGCTTCTCAGGACCACAGCTAACAATAATGGATACTAAAGGCAAAAGAGAACAGTGCTTTTACACTGGTATCATGTGACCCCTGACCCCCTAATTACTGGAGCCCAGTGGTTGAGCCTCAAATGTCTCTATATACTCCTGGCTTATTAATATTTTAATCAACATTATTTGACACACTACTTGGGCTGAATAATGCAATTTTCTTCCTCAATTTAATTTCAGTGGTAACACGTTGTCACAAATGCCTTTTGAGGGCCAGGTTGATTCTCTTTATTTTGGCATTATTAGGATTTCTTACCTTCAATCCGGCCCCCTAAAACAAAATCCTTCACTGTTTTTAATTATATTGAGCATGTTGCAATGAGCATTGCTACTTAAAAAAATATGAGGGCACCAGCTGATGAAATCTATTGCACAGAGTCTGGGCTTGTATGTTGGGGCTAGAAGATTGATGCTAGACGCCATCGCTAATTACGGTGACACTGGAGAGGAAGCACAAGCTGGCGTGTAATGTGAGAATGTTTTAATAAGGGCATAGTGTGTGGTAGCGCTGTGCATGGTAGCATGGGCCAGAAGGACGCTGTGTGGGAATTCTTCCTTGTTGTGAACAGCCAAGGCACATCAGACAAGAGGAGCAGTTAAGTGCCCAGTGTGCTTTAACATAAGGGATGAACTGTGAGCAGAGTTACCACCTGCTTCCAACAGAGCCTCTCTGCCTGAAACAACTGTATTCAGCAGGTGTAGCATGTCTTCACAGGGAGAATGCCAGGATGGAAAATATTTTACATGTTGGATTTCTGCTTATTATACAGCCGTTAAACGGATGCCCTGACACCCGCTGGGGGGAAAGTGGCAACTAAGCTGTGAGGATGCAGTACCACACTATGGGATGGGTTCTGTAAAACAAGAGTGCAAATGGTCCTTTGGGATGTGAGAGAGGGATGCAGCAGTGGCATGCAAAGGAGGTTAAAGTGTAGCAGATGGACTAAAGCTAGAGGATGGTGTGAGATAGCGGTGACTCCTGGGTGGTGACTGTCAGTGCAAAGCTTTTTATTACATTTTAAAGAGATGTGCTTCTGCATGCAATCCAAAACCTTATCACCTGCCTTTATGCTCTGTTTATTTCCCCCCTTTGAGTGGGGAGTGAGTGGCACTCTGCACGTGCCCAGGGGCATTTCTTCTCGCATTCCAGATTCCGCAGTTGAGTCTGGCTCAAACCAAAGACCTTGTTGGCGCAGGGGCCTTGGATATGGCTAGAAAGGGAGACGGGGCTCGGGGAGAGTGTCCTGTTTCTCCCTCCAGGCCTAACCCAGCTTGTGTCCTTCCCGCCCCAGCAGCATCCAAGCCCCCTGCCCGGAAGTGGCTCATCAGCCAGATGGCGATCCGGCGCTCGCTGGCCGTGGGCGAGGCGTGGCTGCCGGACCAGCAGAGCCACGAGTGGGCCCGCCTGAACTTCTCCTACCGCGTGGTGTGCAACGAGCACTACTACGGCGACAACTGCTCCCGCCTCTGCAAGGACCGCGACGACCTCTTCGGCCACTACGTCTGCAAAGCCGACGGCACCATGGCCTGCCTGCCCGACTGGACGGGGGACTACTGCACAGACGGTAAGCGAGGCCGCCCTTCCCGCCCTAGACTTCCCCCTCCCTCCGCCCCCCCAGCGACCAGTTGGCGCGGACAACGCGCGGGCGGGCGCGCAAACTGCGCCTCGAGGGCAGGGAAAGGCGCGACAGCTCCCCCTGCCGGTCGCGAGCGCCAACAGCTGGCGGGCGGGGAGGCAAAGAAAGCAAAGCCACCCTAGGGGGACACTGCGCGTGCGCGAGCCCTTAAAGGTCGGCGGAGGGGTCGAAAGGGTCGGGGGCGAGAGGGCTGAGGGGATTTGGAAAAGGAACCTGCGAGGGTCGAGGCAGAGAGAGGGATGGAGACGGGGTTTTGTTGAAACTCATAGGCAGGACGGCATGCGGATGCGTTGCTGTGCCCTTGCAGTTCCAACCGAGAACCAGAAATGTCTCACTGGCCTCCTAACCCCGTTATGAGCGCCTCATAGTTATAACATGGACAGTTATAATGTGAGGAAACGGGCGCCAGCCTTATCTGGAACGGGCCGAATAAGTTCCTTCTTAAAGAATGAAAATAGTATTATTTTTTTACAAAAAAACACCCACTGCCATATATCCGAGACCAGTTTCTTCTCTCCATCCCTCGAAGTGTATACACACAGTTTACAGATTAAATGGTTCTCCTAAATCCAGTCTTCAAATGACCAAGCTGCACTACTGGACATCAGTTCCTTGATGCAATTGTCTTTGGAGCTGGCTTCTAATTAATACACACAAATGTGATTTGAAAGTTTCTATAAGGCTGCAGCCAGGCAATGGTTTTCCCGATTCACATTACTTACTCTCAGGGACCATTTCTTACATTTAAAAGGGCTTTGGCGATTTCCTAGGCTCCATAGAAGTGGTTCTCAAAATTATATTCCGTTGTGCTACCATTTATGGTGGCTGCAGGTGTGCCCGTTTTGAATGCAGACCTCCAACTCTAAGCAAGTCAGTAGAGCAAAAATGCCATTTCATTCTTCTGGGTGAGGTAGTGTATGTGCAATAATGGAAATGAATGGGAACCACAGTTGTCTCCACCCCCATTCCCTTGGTACTAAAGAATCAGGGGAATGTAGCTCCCTCATAAATGGTTCATTTTCTTATTGCACCTGCTCCTGGGGCCATCGCACCATTTCCTGCATCTGTACTTCACATCGTATCCACTCTCCGCTTTGCAACTGCTTTCAGTCAGCCAGCTTTAGATGGTGACTGCATCGAATGTCCCCAGTATCTTAGCTTAATGTTCTAGATAACAAGAACTGTAAAAGGTATTCTCAAGTCTAATTTTACATTTCAGAACACTTCCAGTTGCCAGGGCAGCTTCTTAGTGAATTTCATACTGGCATTTTAACTATGGGTTCAGGTACATCTAAGAAGTTTAGAGTTTTTTTATTGCTAAAGTTGTGTGTATATCTCACAGCTATCATCAAAACTGATGGCACTGCAGCTGTAGGAATTCTAAAAATCCGACCACTTCTTGTTTTCATTGGTCTTAGGGAACCAAGTCGATATTTGTTGACAAAACAAAACAAAAAAACTCCTGGCCTAAAGGAAATTTCTTTAAGAACGGTGCTGGTGCTACAGGTTTCTTCTAGTTCTCTGCCTTTAAAAAGCAAATCAAATGCTGGATTCACAATAATGCATGTAAATTACACTTGTTTTATACATAAAATTGTACATGTTCCCACTTCACATTGATTTACATAATTTTGAGCATGGCATATGAGAATCTTTGGAACAGAATTTGAATTTTTGTTTAGTGCAAAATACAACTGTAAGCAATTGTGGGCCATTCACTCTCTGCCTCTGGGGCAGTCACTGCTTCTCAGGATTGTCAATGAGAAAACATGTTGACCATGTTTGCACATCATAATAAACCAGAGTTAATGGTTTACTGGACTCTCTTGGTCCTCCCTGCCAGCATGCAAGAGGAAACAAAATATTACCCTAGCTTAGCATTATACCCAACCAGGGATGAGGATTTGTTTTGCTGAAACCATGGTCATTGGTTTGGGGGCATGAAATAAGCCACAATCCCTGATTCAAGCATAATGCTAAACCAGGGATCGTGGCTTGTTGCCAGATCAGCAGCCCAGATCAGTGTTTACAGTAAACAGTTAACTAATATTTACTGTGATGTGCAAATTAGGCTGCTGTCTTGAGCTTGTTGGATACAAATACAATAATAAATACTTCGAAATGCATTTTTGAAAGTATTAACTTAAACTTTCCCCCCCCCCCCATTGAAACAGCTATCTGTCTAGAAGGGTGTTCAGAGAAAAATGGATTTTGCAGAAAACCAAGAGAGTGCATGTAAGTAGTTGCTGTATTAGATCTCAATGTGATTAACAGTATATGAGTCCTCTCCCTTCTCCCTTTACTCATTTCAGTGGTCATCACTGATAAAATTCCCTTTGACTTCAAGTAAGCTCAAAGTATTGTAACAGTTATTTCAGACATTTCAATTGTTTCTTTTCAGCTGTCGTAGTGGTTGGAAAGGCCGTTACTGTAATGAATGTATCCCTCATGTGGGTTGTCGCCATGGGACCTGTACAAAACCAGGAAAGTGCATATGCGATGAAGGCTGGGGAGGCCTTTTTTGTGATCAAGGTTAGTTGATGTAGTTATAACAAAAATGCATTAATTTTTATGTGAGTGTTTTTTTTCTTGCTGATAAATTTCTTAAGGAGAAATTTAACATTTTAGGTTGCTGCAAGAAGTCTAACTAATAGACTTTGAATCTGATTGTCTTGGATGATTGTGGCCAAATGTCAAAATTTCTCTTAAATTCTTCTCTTTCTGTAAAAGTGGTATATGTTTACAGGAACATTCAAAAGTATTCGCACATATTTTTCTTTTAAGTATACACACTACACATTTAGTCTTGCCTCTTGTCCCTTATAAAAACTGTATATTTAGTGATCTATCATATACTTAACTGAGGCCGTTTTCTAAACATATGGTATCACAAGCAAACAGAATCTGGCTCTTCCTTATTTTTACTCATGGGAATATTCTTATATGACTAATGCAGAATTTAAAATAAATGGAAATTGGAGAAAATCTCCAGATTCTGTTTCAAGAGACAGGCTTGACTATGCACCTGACATGTTTCCATGATCTCTGATGTAATCTCAGTTGAATAACTATGGTTCTCCAAAGTCATATCTGCACTTTAAACTGGGGTTACAAGTTCTTTTGCTACAATGGAATCCTTATAGGGAATATGCAGACATGCAATTATTTAATTTATTAACCACATACATGGTCAATATATTTCAAGGTGGTTATACCACCTATGTATGATTGAACATCCTAAGAAACATTTCTGAACCTTGTAGAAGAAACTTTGTCTAGAGAAAGCCTACCTAATGAGAATGTTGGAAGTGTATAAACTTACTAGGATCTTTTTCAACTTGATAAATGCACATTTAAATCCCTTTATTGCTAATAGCTTTAGGCACCTACAAAGACAAGTATTAGCTCCAAACGCAGTACACTTATCAGCCCACCCAGATTCAAAGCAAAATCATTCTTATAGCCCTAAAGATGCATATATACAGTAGTTATTGCAGAATATGGCCTGTTTAAGGGTATTTTAATTGGCCTAGCAGGTGAAATTCTGATTGATCATCTATCATTAAGTAAAGTATGCCATCTTACCTTGGTTATATTCATGATACTAAAAGCTCATAGTACATTCATAAGTCCATTTCCTTCCATGTCGTTTTGATATACCAGGTTATGAACAAAAGTGAGGGCCACCAGGTGACTATCTTTGTTTTTTGTCTTATTGCACATGGAAAGGTTTTAAGCATTACTCATTGTGGCAATGAGAACTACATTGTGGGGAAAGTACTGAGCTTATGCACCCCCAGGATGTTTATTTTAGGCATTCCTAAAAGTCCTCCTGGCTGGGGACACAAATTTCCATTGATTCTATTGAACAATAAATTGAAGGTGTTTTGGTCAAAGTCTCTGTTTTGCTACTTCTAGTGCCTCATCCTTTTTGTTCTTTGTTAAAACGTAACTATCTCATTGTCATGTTTCTGTCCTTGCAGATCTGAACTACTGCACCCATCACAGACCCTGCAAGAATGGGGCCACCTGCATGAACACTGGCCAGGGAAGTTATACATGTTCCTGCAAAGAGGGTTTTACTGGTGTTGACTGTGAACGGAATATCAGCGAATGTGACAGTAACCCCTGCAAGAATGGAGGCAGTTGCACAGTAAGAACTAATTATATGTTGGAAATTTATTTGTGAAAAGAGAAAAAGCAGCTTTCCATATTTATATCTTGTCCTTCCACTGATGAGTTTGGGGTAGTATGCATGAATGTTCACAATACCCCTGTCTGACCAGTAAAGAGGAGGGACTGATTGACTGGTTACAGGTCTAGGGAAGGAGGGTGTACATTGTTAAAATACAGTACAAACAATAAAAGCAACACATTACAGCAGAAATAAATCAAGAAAACCAACCACAGGCAGATCTTTAAAATTTTAATAAAAAATATCAAAACTATTAAAAGTCCCAAAAAGCCTGGGAGAATTTTAAAATAGCCTTTGCCTGACACTGAAGGGAATACAGAATATGCTCCAAGTGAGCCTCCCTAGGGAGAACATTCCAGAACCAGGATGCTGTTCCTGTGAAGGCCCTTCCTCCTAGCAGCCTCTTGCTATTTTGAGGGCCTCTGATGATGATTTCGAGGTAGATAGTTGGTGGATACCATCTTGGAGACTCTTCCTGGCCACTGGGGAAGGAGAAGTTAGCAGGCACTGCGGCATCGGCAAAAAAGGGTGGGGGTAGCGCTGGTGCAGATATGGTGGCACCCCCAGCTATGGCACAGAGGGGCCCTGAAGCTCACATAGGGCTTGCACACAAACAAAAGCAAAAATATTACTGATCCCCCTGCATAGTCCTGGCCTTCAGTGCTATATAAAACACATCTGTCTGCTTCATGTACCTTCTTTTAGCTACACAGTTATACTGCAAGTAATATTTTCAGTCTGTCTTACTTCACTTTGGTAGTGTCTGAGTACGTACAGTCCATATCAGGTTAATAAGTCTTATTCCCTCAGTGCTCTTTTTAGTAACCATCAATAGTTGAGAAGTACATTGTTGGTATGAACTCAAGTCTCTTTGTAGTAGTATCACTTAATTTATAGTGTGCATTTACTTTTTCATCTGCAAGACCCTTTAGCTGTGTTTTAGCCCTGCTTACTTGGAGACCCAATCTGATTCCATTTTAATTTAATTTGTTTTGGGTGCATCTGCTTTCACATCTCTGAAAGTTTATGAAAAATGGACAGGAAATGTAACTGAAAAGCAACTAGTTTGAAGGAGCTAAATTTTATATATTCCTTATTCCCCCCCCCCCCCAGGATTTAGGGAAATACTACAAATGCACATGTCCCCCAGGATACGATGGTGTTAATTGTGAGCACAGTGCCTTGACTTGTGTTGATTCTCCATGTTTTAATGGTGGCACATGCCTAGAAAGAGAAGGAGGAACCAGCTATGCTTGTATTTGTCCTATGGGCTTTACAGGATCCAACTGCGAAAAGAAAGAAGACAGGTGTACCAACAACCCCTGTTCTAATGGTAAGTCCTTTCACCAGAGGAGTTTCATCTTTGGGGACAGACAATAATGAAACTTTAATCTGATTCTGTGTTCCTCCCTTGATCTGTCAGTTTTCTTTTACTATTATAAGGTATACTTTGTACGGTATATTTTCTACTTACTTGTGAGGTTTATATTGCATGTTACAATGAGTTGCCTATTTTTTCTCCACATTTTTAAAAAAAGGATCAGCTTCGGCCGAGTGGAAGGGGAAAGAGTCTCCTTAACCCTTTCCCTCCAGTGATTCTTTCCCTCCAGCTCAAAATAACTCTTCCTAAGTTGCTGTTTAACTCACAGGGTGGAGGAGTAGCTTGCAATGCTGTTTGTTTATATACACCATCACTTAATAAGACTGTAGTATTTGTTGTTGTTGTTTAGTCGTTTAATCGTGTCCAACTCTTCGTGACCCCTTGGACCAGACTATAATATAGGGGTTCCCAAATAGGTCTGTAGACCACTAGTGGTTCACAAATGTTATTCAGGTGGAACAGTGTGTCTGTAAAAATCGAATTCAAAATAATACATGTAGTGCAGTGCATTATAATTGCTACAACTGACAGAAAAATCCATAAGTGCCTCCAAGACCCTCTGCAATTTTCATGTGGCCCATCGGTGGATTTTGGAAGCAACTGATGGACCATCTGACACCCATTTTTGGGTTTCTAAATCTTAGTTCTGTACTGTATCTTTTCTTCTTGCTTTTCTGCAATCTTAGCTGTTACTGGACCTCTTCTTGTCGTCTACATTCCCTCATTTCTGCACCTTCTGTGTCTAGAAAAGTCTCCTTGTGCATCAAGTCAATATTTCCCAATTGATATCTTTTCTCACAACATTTCCCACACACATTCTGTGATGCCTGCTACTTGCTTATGTCCTCCTACTTCATTCTTGATGATTCTGTATCAGGTTATGTCTTCTCCTCAGCTTTGCCCTGTTGGCTGCACTACTACAGGGTGAGTCTTTGAAAAGAGGCCCTGTGGAACATGTGTACGCTGTATCCACAGGACCTCTTTTAAAGGACACCCTGTATATTCTAGTGCCTGGGTAGTCTTGGTCTTTGCTTCTGTGTTCAGTGCAACACAGCAGTCGCTAAATTATAATACAAAATACATTCCTAATCAAGCTTTTTTTTTTATTGCACTCTTCTCTACAGGTGGGCAATGCTTTGTTTTGGGCCAGCAACACGTGTGTCGTTGTCGTCCTGGTTTCTCCGGTCAGAAATGTGAGATAAACATCAGCAAGTGTTCCAGAAATCCATGCACCAATGGAGGATCTTGTCATGACCTTGTGACTACACATGATTATACATGTACTTGCTTGCCAGGCTATGCTGGCAAAAACTGTGAAACCAGAACTAGAGATGAGTGTGCCTCTGAGCCCTGCCAGAATGGGGGAACATGCTATGTTGGGCTTTATCCTACTACTTTTGCTTGTCACTGCCCTTCTGGCTTCATGGGCAGCCATTGTGAATTTCCAGTGCGTTCAGTTTCAGAGCCTCCTAAACAGGTTCCTTGGGTGGCCATATCCATGGGAGTCGGGCTAGTGGCTCTTCTCATTTTGTGCTGCATGATAGCTATAGTTATCCGGCAGATGCAGAGACAGCCAGAACAGAATTCAGAAGCCATGAACAACCTGTCTGACTTCCAGAAGGAAAATCTCATCCCAGCCTCTCAACTTAAAAACACCAATAAAAACAAAGACCTTGAAGTAGACTGCGTGCTGGAGAAATCAAACTACAAACTTAAGAATCACACATTGGATTATAACCTGATGAAGGAACTGACGAGTAGAGGGGCTCAGGAAGATAAATATCATAAAAGTGAAAAATGTATAGGAGAGAAATCACCTTTCTGGTTACGCAGGTATGAACACCTTCTAAAGAAATCTAATTTCTCTGCATTTGTGAACAAGGAAGCCTATGTAGTGCAAAGAACAGGAGTAGGGAGCAACTCATAAATGTGTTAGATTCTGAAAAGCATGGAAAGTGGATAGCTCTGACATTTTAAATTTCATGCAGAGTACACTTCACTCACAGCAACAGAGGAGCGTTGACAATCCATCAAGTTTCGGAAGAAGTTTACCTTCCTTAAAGCTTAAATGAAATAACATTATGTTAAATGCCTTGGCACGACCCATCTTATGGCCAGGTTGCAGTCCACTGATTCAAGGCCAATCCTGTAGCTAGATAGGTGGTAGGACTATGTTGTAACAGATTCCAAGAAACCATTATCTGAGGGCTAGAAAGCAACTAATGTTTGTTCTTAAGCTTATTTTTGGCTTATTGCTCATCAGTTTAAAGCAAACAATTCATGGTCTGGGATTGAATGATGTGATAAGTCATACTATGGCTTGTTTACTTTAAGCTACATGGGGCAAGTAGGGAGAAGCCACACAAGGGGTCTACGCAGCAGAGGCACACTCACAATTCAACCATGGTTTAAGACAAACTGTGTCTTATCATGACATGTGAGGCAGGGCTGCATGCATTTGTTCCTGTCAAAGTTGTTGACTTCACAAAAACACCTCTACCCAGATTCTTTATGCTTGAACTGCTCACCTAATTTAATTGGTCTTGTGAATGTGAGGAAATGAAGAGAGACAACAAGAAAGTGCAGCCAAGTAGTTCCAAATTCTGTCTTTTAATGCAGACTTACAGCCTTTACATAAAATATTTAAAATTTTGTGCATCTACTGCACCTAGTAAGTCAAGCTGATTTACTTGGTTCAATAAAACACAATGAATGCTACTTGAAACCAGGCTACTCCCCATATGCAAGTTTCAGCCTGATCATAGTTATTTGGTCATAGAAGACTGAGGTTGTCATTGGTGGAAACTGAATTTTTAAATATTTGCTGTCATTCATGGCCTAAGCTACTGTAAAAGATCCTTTCTTCAGTTTTAACACATGAAACAAGAACATTTTGCTTAGAATTTTTATCATGGTTTTTTGTTTTCAACAGTGAAAAGCCAGAATGTAGAATATCAGCTATATGCTCTCCAAGGGATTCCATGTACCAATCTGTCTTTGTGATAGCAGAGGAGCGAAATGAGTGTGTTATAGCCACAGAGGTATGTATGTTGCCTACATAGATTTTAATTTTTGCCACCCACCTGTCTCAAGAGACAGCGGAAGAGTGCGCCATTGGGGCTAAAGTCAAACTGTTGGAGTGTTACAGCGTCCGCTGTTTTAATTACTTAAACATTTCTATATTGCTTTTAGCTGCAAAAAGAGCTCTGAAAGCAGTTTACAACAATAAATATCAATACAAACAAAAATGACATTCAAAACAAAAATTAAACGGAGATAACAACACATATTAAAAGAGGAAAAATGTCTTGACCACCTACCGGGCAATAAAGAAGGGGCCAGTGTATTCTTCCTTGGGTGGCAGTTCCACAATCGGAGTGCCATCACCGAAAAGGCCCTGCCTTGGCTGCAGAACATAGAGCAGAGCCCTGGAAGGTGGCCACAACTGACAAGCAGGTTTATGCAGAGAGGGGTGATCCTTCAGATATCCTGCTCCCAAGCTATATTTGTCATTAATTTAGTCATTAATTTATAGAGCTAAGGTCTCATTTTTTAATAATAAAAATCTGAAAAGATAGCAATGTAGTTTTAGACTTTCAGGCATCATTTCCATACATCTGGCAAGTAGTGAGTAGTAATGGAACTATTTCTAGTGTTGCTCAGATCATTCCTGCAAACAATACTTAAGAAAATAGAGAAATTAATGGGTTAGTTTCTTCAGGGTTTTTTTTGTTGTTTTGTTTTTAAGGTCTGAATCCCAGAGTAAAGACATTGGCTTAAGCTCTTACTTCTGAAACCAGAATTCTGCATTCTCACTTCCCACTCTAGCACCCCACACCTCCTGAAAACCTGTTTCAAAAAGGCATGGAATGTGGAGCAAAGGGCTACAACAGGAAGGGGATACTGATAAAATTCATGCCAGTCCCCTTGCCCTCACTTGACAGCATCAGGCCAATTATCCTGCTCCCATCTGGTGGCCCCACTGCTCCACAAAACTCTGCTGCTACTGCTGGGGAATTTGGTTTGCAACTTTAATCTGTATTTTGAATAGCACTGCCTGTTTCTAATTTCTCCCCCTCCCATTTGTTTATAAACAGGTATAAGAATGAAGGTTGCTCTGTTTGCACCTCAGTGTTGGAGATGCCACAAGGTGGACATTCCTGCTAATTGTTTACAATTCACAATTGGATTGGACTTGGATTTTTTTAATTATATGCAATTTGCTGCTCTCAGGAGGAGGAGAGGATGGAAGTGGGTGAACTGGACAGACTGTGAATTTAAAGATGCAATAGACCTTTTGGCCCCCTGTTCCCTTATTTTGAAGTCTGATAGGAGGAATATAACTGACTACAGGGAGGGGAGAGGCAGTGATGGTGTCTTTTACTAGCCTTTGAAATTACTTTGCTGCCAGTTGCTTGTGGACAGTTGTGTGACTTTCCAAAACTTCAGTCTTGGAAGGTGCCCATTGGTGCAAAAGGCACTCTGCCATCACAGAATAAACCAGCAATACTGTGAGAAGAATGAATGAAGAAACATGTTTTTCTATGCATATAATGGATACAGAATAAATGAGCTCACCATTTTTTTCTGGATTTGAAAGTGCCTGAAGCGTGTTTAAGAATCTAGAGAGCCCAAATCAAGACATAACTGCCTTTCCCCCCTGCAGTACCCAAACAGTATTGGCAAGGAGTTACTTACTACCAGTACCTCCTGTTGCTTCTCTATTTTACATCCCTTTTCCCCTTCCATGTATTCCAAACAATGTAAGGGGAGATGGATAATGAGCTGGCATTTCATCTCCTAGGATGATGCTTTGGTGAACTGAGCAGTGAATTGGGATTTGCTCCTATTTCTGAATGACAGAAACATCCATGGACTTAAACAGCGGAGGAGAATCCTGCCGCTGCTGCCTCCTCAGCATGAGGAAACTTAATCCCAGTGCTCGCTGAAAGCCTTACAAGTGCGTTTAAAATCAATCAGCTGTTTTCATGCCCTTTGCACTACTAGTCACCATGAATAGAAGTGTGTTTCTTCTTCATATGCATTAGGTAGGATTTGGAATTTTGTGTTGGATATCTGAATCTGGTGCCACCACCTCAATTGCAAATAACCTCCAAGTCTAAACTTGTGGGGTTTTTTTACAGCCAGGGAAGTGTTTATGAGCCCTGAAGTTTTCTTCCTTGCTGCAGAACAACCACCACTATCTACAGCTCCGCTGGGCTAAGAAAGACTAAGCTACAAGGGGGACTTATTGAGGGATATCTGTGGGTGAAATCATAAATTTCTTGGTTTGTCCTGCTTCTTCATTCCTTCACACTGCTACAAGGAAAGGAGTAACCTTATGTTTTTTAGTCCAAAGGAGCAGTTCTGAACTGGAAAACTCAGTGCACACAGACTCTCATACATTTACAGCAATAATAATAGACATTTCAGATAGGAAGTGCTGTGATGTTTGTAGTGATAAACATGTACTGTGGGAAAGGGAATATGGCGGAAGCAGAGAGAGGAAGCAAATTTTCATTCAAGGAAGTTGGGATTGTGCTTTCTGTGGTGGAAGAGCAATGTTCCTGACCTTGTAAATCCCAGCATCAGTTTTGTTCACCTCCAGCCTTGAATTGTGCAAGCAAGATTTTGCTCAGAATGTTCACTACTGACCTTTTGGTCTGACCATTCAAGACCGTTATGAAAATGACCTTCAGAAATCAATAATATGGTTTATACTAGTGTCTGTTTGTAGTTATTTTAAAACATAGTATTTCAATAATTTAAAAAGAAAATCAGAAGCACTGAACTTTCTACATTTTGTAACATTATTTTGTATATAATGTATATTTATAATCAAAAACAGAAGTGTAAATATGTTTATTACTTATCATGTTATGTTTTTATGTGATGACAAAGTTTGAATTTTATTTTTTTTTCCAAATAATGAAAATACTTTCCCGCTACTGCAAAGTTTGGTGTGGTTTCTCATTTTATGACTTGAGTTTCATGATCTTCCAGTGTTTACAGGAAATCTCTTTGTCATAGAGGCTGAGTTCTAACAGGTCCTGTAGTAATATAAATTTGTTGCTTGGCATTACATAACATGTGCAAAGGTCACAAAGTTTCTGGTGAATGAATTCAGTTTATTTATTTTTTTAGTTGATAACCTGCTTTGATGTAAGAATTCTTACATTTTTAGAATGTAATAGAAATGTAATAAAGCCAAGCTTTTTACATAGTCCTTAGAATAAGGACAAAACCCTGGCCTATGTTAGTTCTTACACAACAATAGAAATTACATCTGTTGTTCATTCTGGAAAAGGATTCGGGAATAAATAAACTCACTTCTCAACTTTATATTCTATTAATGAGCGAGAAAGTGCTTGGCAGGGGGTTGGACTCGATGGCCCTTGTGGTCTTCCAACTCTATGATTCTATGATTAGTTCCTTTGCTGGCTTCTTACCTTTCTCTGTTCTAACAGAGTTCAGGATGTATCAGAGCAGCTGTCTATTCCAAAATGCTTTAAACAGGATGCAAAGTAAATATGATAAAATGTGTGAGAGAAAACAGAAATTAGAAACTGCATATAAGACACATAACTAATTGAATTATTTTCAGTGTTAGGTCACAGCATTGTTTATTACAGATCCGGGCACGCTTCCAGATTTCTGCTTCCCCAAATAATAATGTATTTAATTATTAAATTTGTATCTTTCCTCCCAAAAGAGGGCGGGGCAGTGCAACATCAGTGATAAAACAATACAGTGGAAACATCTTCAAAACATCTAAAAACCTGTAAAACAATAACATACCGTACTTCCACAGCTAATAATGTCAAGGTTACTAGGAAAAGTATTCTTCACCCATCAGGTGCCTGGGTAAACAGGATTGTTTTAAAATTCCTTCTGAAATAGATGCACCTCAGCAGAGAGGACATTCCCCAAATGGGAACTGCCATGAGAAGGCCCTGTCATAGGTCAGCGTCAACCAAGCAGCACCCTGCACCTTCCACCCTGACCTAAACGGCCTCAGTCCAGTATACCTGAAGGAGTGTCTCCACCCTCATCATTCAGCCCGGACACTGAGGTCCAGCACCAAGGGCCTTCTGCCTGGTTCCCTCACTGTGAGAAGCCAAGTTACAGGGAACTCGGCAGAGGGCCTTCTCGGTAGTGCCACCTGCCCTGTGGAACGCCCTCCCACCGGATGTCAAAAAGGAGAACAACTACCAGACATTTAGAAGACATCTGAAGGCAGCCCTCTTTAGGGAAGCTTTTAATGTTTAACAGACTACTGTATTTTAATACTTTGTTGGAAGCCGCCCAGAGTGGCTGGGGAAACCCAGCCAGATGGGAGGGGTATAAATAAATTAATAATAATAATTAATAATAATAATTTAATTATAACAGGGCTGCCTCTACTGCTTATAGGACTTGATAAACATGCCTTGCAGAAATGGCAGGGGAAAGTGCCCTGGGGTTTAATGCTGCTGCTGCTGGTGGTTTTACCTCCCCGTTTCTGGATGTTTCTCAGTACAGTGGTACCTCGCAAGACGAATGCCTCGCAAGACGGAAAACTCGCAAGACGAAAGGGTTTTTGGTTTTTTGAGCTGCTTCGCAAGACGATTTTCCCTATGGGCTTGCTTCGCAAGACGGAAACGTCTTGCAAGTTTGTTTCCTTTTTCTTAACACCGTGAATACAGTTGCGACTTGACTTTGAGGAGCAACTCATAGCACGCGGTGTGGTAGCCTTTTTTGAGGTTTTTGAAGACTTTGGTGATTTCTGAAGCTTTTCCAAAACTTTTCCGAAACCGTGCTTCGCAAGACGAAAAAACTCGCGGAACGAATTAATTTCGTCTTGCGAGGCACCACTGTAGTAGTAAATAATACAGCATGAGGTTTAGGACCGTCTTCACGCCGATCATGAGTGGCAAAGGCACTGCTAACTTGTTACTCATAAAAATCTCAGGATGCTGGCTAATTAGCGATAGGTTTACTACAGTCATTACGGCCCTTAAAGTAAGACAAATGTTAAGCATTATCTACCTGAGCTGCAGCTCTGTTATGCTGCAGGAGTTGGATTGAAGCCCATGAAGCCAATGGAATGGAATGAGTTTAAATCTAAGTATTTTGTTATGTGGGTTGCTGTGCATTGTCTCTTCTAAAACAAAATCTTTCTTCAAAACAACTTGAAATTGCAAACCCAGTGGGTGGAGTTCAACGTCACACTATTAACAAACATTCTCTCTGTGTAAGCGTATCAGCTGGCCAAATGGAGTGATCCTCCCCCTGTGTGTTGCTCTGGGGTTCTCCTGACCCCCCCACACCAGAGGAGGGGAAAGCCCTGCTGCAAGGGTGGAAGGATTAAGGTTAGGGCTGTCCTGACCCTGTAGGGGTTCATTAGGTGAATCCTGCCTATAATTCATAACACATCATTAAACAAGTCATAACAACTATTAATGAGCAGTCCTTATTGTGCCTTATTTTTAAGGGTACACAGTTTTGTTTACCTTCTTAAAAACTCCGTTTGCCTCTTTTATTCTTTGCTTAGTAAAATCAGCTGAAAATCCTAATCAGTCTCCTTGACTACCATTTGAGGCAAACAATAATAAAGATGGGAGAAGCGAAAAGATCCCTCCCATCCCCAAACACTCACCCTGCAGAGCAAATTATGAAAAACAAGCCATTGACAAAAAGCAGAGCAGATGCTGCTGATTTGCAGCCCTTCCTTGGCAATGTGAAATAAACCCAACAGATGCTTCTCTTAATTGAACGCACGGATTACATACAGAGAAAGAGAGAGTCCAGCTTCAAACAAAAAACAGCTAAACAACAAAATAGTCAGGGAGCTCTCTCCACAGCTTAGCAAACAGGACGGAGACCCAAATGTGGCTTCTGAGTCTCAAGACAAAGCACAAAATCATATCAAGGAAGGACAGGGCTGAGAACTATGTCCATTGAACCCAGATGAAAAGGATTTATATGTGAAACTGTATTCTGCAAAACAAACAAGAAACTATATATACCACTACCAACTAAGCATGAACTCCTAAGGAGATTAAAGAAAAAGAATGTAAAGTATTATTGCTTTAAAGTGAACCATATCAGAGAACCTGTACACATCCAACTGCAGGATAAGACATCCCTGACTTCTCTCCCAAGCCTCCAAAGGTTACTAGTACCAGTGGCGTAGCGTGGGTTGTCAGCCTAACCCATGGATTTTAGCACTCGGGCAGAGAGCTGCGAGTGCGAGCGCCCCCCCCCGATGTTGCGCCCGGTGCGGCCGCCCCCCCCTGCACCCCCCCACGCTACGCCACTGACTAGTACGGTGGTACCTTGGGTTACAGATGCTTCAGGTTACAGACTCCGCTAACCCAGAAATAGTACCTCAGGTTAAGAACTTTGCTTCAGGATGAGAACAGAAATCACACGGCAGCGGGAGGCCCCATTAGCTAAAGTGGTACCTCAGGTTAAGAACAGTTTTAGGTTAAGAACGGACCTCCAGAACGAATAAATTTCTTAACCCGAGGTACGACTGTACAGTAAAACCTTCACATGGGATAATTCTTAGCTAAACTGAAGGGACAGCTCAAGGATTTCTTTCTTTCTTTTAAGTAATCCACAGAAATTGAATTGCAGGATTATTTGGTCATGAGTTGAAGTTCACGTGAGTGATATATGGCCATAAGTGAAAGGAAGTAGGATTGTGTGCCTTGTACAATGGCATAGTCTACTGTAGGCATGGCCAAACTTGGCCCTCTAGCTGTTTTGGGACTACAATTCCCATCATCCCTGACCACTGGTCCTGTTAGCTAGGGATGAAGGGAGTTGTGGTCCAAAACAGCTGGAAGGCCAAGTTTGGCCACACCTGGTCTACTGTGAAGCCATTCGGTGTTAGTAATGAAGAAGAAGAAGAAGAAGAAGAATGACTCCAACTTCTTTTGTGTAGCTGGGGTCATAAATTTTAAAAAAACAATATACGGTAATAACTTTGCTCACAGTTTTGCTCATATAGGGGGGAAACTGATTTTTGGCAGCTCTGTGTGTGAGAGAGGTAACCTGACCAGTTGTGTGGTGAACTAAATTTCTGCTTGGTATGGATGACACCATCGTGTCTCTACATTGTCCCCATTATTTCTTATTCTTATATCCACCTTGGTTGGTCAATATATATTTGTTGTACATCAGAGAGAAGACTGTATATTTTGCTCCTAATCCAAACCCCAGCTCTGAATAAGTGTATGATTCTACAGCTCTTTGCCAAACTCTGTTTTCATCGCTGCGGGTTATTGTTTCATACGCAGCCTTTCCGGCAGTTCCCTCATTGCGAGAAGTGAGGCTACAGGGAACCAGACAGAGGGCCTTCTCGGTAGTGGCACCCACCCTGTGGAACGCCCTCCCATCAGATGTCAAAGAGATAAATAATTACCTGACATTCAGAAGACATCTTAAGGCAGCCCTGTTCAGGGAAGTTTTTAATATGTAACGCTGTACTGTTTTTAACACTGATTGGGAGCCGCCCAGAGTGGCTGGGGAAACTCAGCCAGATGGGCGGGGTATAAATAATAAATTATTATTATTATTATTATTATTATTATTATTATTATTATTATTATTATTGTGAGTCTGAGCGGAAAACACTGATGCAAATAAAATATATTTGTCCTGAGAGCTCTTAATTTTATTATGGTTGTATTTGATCAAATTGTACCTAGAGCAGATCCACCGAAATCTATAGTCTTAAGTTAGTTATGACCATTGATTTCTTTGCGTATGATGCAACATTATATAACCTCCCCTCAAACAAATCAAAATGAATGTTCAATAAATAGGTCTTCTGGACCAGAGGTAAGGAACCATTTTGGCTTTGCAGGCCAGATCCTTATTTGGCCCCACCTCTGCAGGGTGACACAGATGGCAGATGGGCAGGACAACCCAACTGTCAACCCCAGCATGACGACATCAG